GGGGGGGAGAGGAAGTGCGGAGGGGGGTGAGAACACGAAAACAAAAGTTGAAATTAAAAATTCGTATAGACGCCGATATGAAAAGCGCTGTCGTCCCCCCTCCCCCTTTGTTTGTTCGTTTGTTAGGAGATCGATGTTTCTCGCTCATTTGCGTATTGTAAAGAAAATACGGCTGCTAATTAATTTACGATTTCTGTTACGCATATGTAACAGACGTGGCACTAACGACGCCGAACTGGCTGCAATCGCCGATAAATCCATATTTAAATATCTGTGTGATGGCCTGTACTTGACGTACAGTTGTCTCTTTGATGTATAAATTCGTTTTTGCCAGCAATGCTGTTTTACAATTTGAAAAAAATTTTCATTACGCGTCAGGTTTCTCATTGCGAAGCTATTTCTCTAAATGCTTTTTAATTTACACTCGGTAATCGGTATTTGTTTCGGCGACACAAGTAATTCTTAAGACATTAAATATTTATTTTTTAAATTTATCAAGGCAATTAAACAATGCGTGTCATCGGGCCTCATAATACGTCATCAAGAGCTATATGTAAATGAATTCCATTGCAGGGAATCAATAATTTTTGAATAAACCGGTAGATTGCAATCCATCCAGGGAATATGTCGCAATAAATATTCATTGCTGTTATTCAATGTCATTACACAAAGTAATCAATTACAATGAAAGAATCAAGTCAATCTCATTTCACTCTATATATATTGTGGTTACATGAATTGTTAATGAATGTCACAGGAAACCTATCCCTCAACGCCACCAGTCTGGTTTGCAGAATCTGAGGAGACAAGTGTTACAAATGCGGTACAAATTTTAAGTACTACCACAGGCCGTGACAACCACGTCATTAATCAAGTTGGGATTCTCTTGAAAGAATTATGTAGACTTCACTCATTGCCTGAACCACCTGATGTTGAAAGGTTAAGGACAGCCTTGGATCCGTTACGTTTAGGAGGATCAAATGAAGCTACGGCACAAAGGATGGAAGCTGAAGATGCGGAAGATATTGATGATGACGAAGAGAGTGATGCAGAGGAAGACCTTCATTTAGACATGGACGAGGGGGATGCCAATGCGAAGAGTAAGGTAAATAGAGTATTAGCAAATAGAAGCATCATTTCAATAGTGGTAGATTATACTTGCGTCTATCTACACTGATACCAATTGAATTTTCAAGGGTGAAGAAATAGAATTGGAACATCTTGCAACGCTAGAAAGGTTGAGGCAAAATCAAAGACAAGATTACTTAAAAGGATCTGTCTGTGGCAGTGTGCAAGCCACAGACAGGCTTATGAAAGAATTGCGCGACATTTATCGAAGTGACAGTTTCAAAAAAGGTAGTAACGCAGTTTTCAACATTCCACACTTGTACACAATTAATGTACCTTAACAATTGTACTACAAGAAGTCAGACTTGTCAATGTAATTCAAGTATTTACTTAAATTTGTTGTAGGAATGTACAGCATAGAATTAGTAAATGACAGTTTGTATGAATGGAATGTCAGGCTGATGTGTGTTGATCCTGATTCACCTTTACACAGCGATCTCATACTTCTAAAAGAAAAAGAAGGCAAAGACAGTATTCTCCTTAACATGCTTTTTAAGGTATGTGTCGTCAATTCGCGACAGAATTGTCTTCTGTTAATCAAAAGTATTGATTCTAGTTGTGTTTTAGATAATAAGTAATACATCGTCACTTTTAAGAATCTGTTTATTGTATCTGATGTTTTAATTACGTTATCAATGTAGTTTGGTAAATACTTTGAAAATTCTGTTAATTCGCATGATATCGATATTATTTGAGTAGTCGATTTCTCAATGCTGAGAGAAAAAAAGCATCCTTTGCTCTTATGATTGCAGGAAACTTACCCATTCGAACCTCCATTTGTCAGAGTTGTGCATCCCATGATCTCTGGCGGTTACGTCCTTATAGGAGGCGCGATTTGTATGGAACTCTTGACGAAACAAGGTTGGAGTTCAGCCTACACAGTGGAAGCAGTCATCATGCAGATTTCAGCAACACTAGTGAAGGGTAAAGCACGCATACAGTTTCAAGGACCAGGTAGTGCTAGCAAAGTGTGTGGACAAGGTCAATACAGTCTAGCACGTGCACAACAGTCATTCAAGTCTCTTGTACAAATACATGAAAAAAATGGTAAGACGTTCATTTTACTTCTCATTTTATATCACTAGTGTTTGAACTTTTGTTGCTATTCTTATTAGGAAGAGTATTCGATGAAAAAGTTATGTGTCATTTAGATAATGAGTTTTTTTCTTTATTATTATCGTTATTCATATTATAGTTTCTTTGATAATGATTCAAGTAATTAAGAGGAGGATAATATTTTGGAAATATAAATTTCTTTTTCGTCATTAATGTAACAAAGATATTTATAGGCATTATTATTATTATTGTTATTATTGACTTGAGATTTAATTAAATTCTATGAAATTTCGCTCAATAAGCAAATCTTTTTTGTATTTAGTTAGCTTTGATTCTTTTGTTTTTGGCGTATGCTCTTCCATTTCTTTCAATGTAGAGTTTCATTGTTCATACATAGAATTCATAGTTCGGATGGTACTATGTGTTGAAATATTCTTATAGGTTGGTTTACCCCTCCAAAAGAGGATGGCTAATGAACATGAATCACGGAGAAAAGGAAAGTTTGACGCGTGCTTACGGCTGAGACTTTAATTCGGTGTGTGCCCAACAAATAATTGTTACGATAATGATTTGATACACGAAACACAACATTAACTAGGTGGTAACTTAAGATACTGAATTAATCTAACGCGTAATTCCTTTTGATGGCTGAAAAAAAGGCTGCCGCGCAAACAGTGAAGTGTTTGATTCTGTATGCATAGATTTTTCAGTAATTAGTGATTAGATCGCCAATCGCATTTGTGAATGTGAGATATAATCATTTTTATCTGGAATTGATTCTTATGTTTTGGAATTATCTAAGGATAATCAATTCCAAATAACATTAATTTTAGTTCTCTTTTTGTGAGTACACATTGTTGTACGTACGTACGAAACAAGTGTAAACATTCTGTGAAAATGCGTTTGCGCAATCCGTGCTTCCTTTCTTCCAACAAGAGGGAAACACGACGGTTAGCAACTTAGATAGTTATATTGACAATTTTTCTAAGTGTTTTTTCTTTTTTTTTTTTCTTTTTTTTTTGTTTTCTTTTATCATTGTGAGCTTTCATTCGTTCCATTCTATCTTATTGTATTTTAATTCTTTCATTCATTGTGCAATTCATAAGTAAGTTTGTTCGGATATATACATTTGTTGAAAAGTAAAAGCAGTAAACGAATCTAAAGTGAGAATAGAGCGATGTTTCTGGGGGTAAAGCGAATTTTGCTGTTACCTTTTTTTCTTTCTTTTGTATTTATTCGATTTCATTCATTGATGAACACGATTCAATGTGAACGAGCACACAACTAAACCATCATGATTCTGCAGTACTTTGAAACAGTATATGAGACCTTAAAGAAATTAAACAGTCGCGTATAATCGAGGCTGTAGAGGATATAGTATTATTTATAATTCTACATACTGCAAAAATGACCTGATTCAATTCAATTCTAATCGTACATTTTCCTTTCGTCGAGTAATGTTTCTTTGTATTTTTCTACTTTGGTTAAGTATGAAGATAACAAATGTGTATATATATATTTGTAATGCTTTACGTTGTCTCTGCCTTCTAATTGTCCCGCACGAATGAGATTTACATTCTAAAAGAAGACTTTTTACAATTTATATTCAAACTCTCGAACATCCTTATAAATAAAGAAATGGCATAGCAATACTAGATAGTATGTATTTCCTTAACATAACTGACTAAGAAGATAGTTAAGGGTTGTATAGATATGTACATATACACATGTTTGTGTGTGTCAATTTCTTGAAACTGATGCTTTGTCCGAATCTACTACTTTCTCTTTCATCTTAAACCCGGTGAGAATCTAAAGTAATACAAGACGATGGGGACGATCCGCGATTTGGTTGTGTGCCTCGTTTGATACTCCACTATTTTGTTGTATTTGTTTATAAAGCGGTTGATGTGCTTGATGAGATTGATATGAAAGATTTGGTCTGTATGTTGGGCGTACGCTCAAGCGAACTTTTAGTGGTATTCTATATACATATATATACACATAAATATATATCGTGACATTTATTTGCAATCGAAACTCTATTTACACGACGTGTTTGGTAAACGTGAAATTGCGCGGGATTGATCGTCGAAAATTTCTTTGTGCCACAAGTAGAGTTTTACACTGGCCAGTTGAAACGAAAAGAAAACGAAAAAAAAGAAAAAAAAAAAACAAGTGACAAGCGAGAGAACACGCGTACACTAAAACGCACCATTAGGATCGCGAAAGGGGAAAAAGAAAAGAAAAGAAAAAAAAAAAGAAAT